ACTACCCATGCTGAAACGTGTCAAGGTATGCACTACCCATGCTGAAACGTGTCAAGGTATGCCTGCACAGTGCATACCTAGGAGTGTACAGTGTATGTACATTATGACGTATTCTCTGCGGGAATGGCATGCCTGTACTGGTTTAGTCCAGTGAAGAACACTGAACAATTTCAAGTTCAATGGTGTCTTGGGATTTCCTGCATCATAGTATCCTTCAGTGTTGATGCAGTTGACAGTTGTCAGATGTTTGGAACACTCTTGTGTGTGTGTGTGTGTGTGTGTGTGTGTGTGTGTGTGTGTTTGTGTTTACGTGTGTTTTTGCAATGCTTTCATCCTTCTCTGCAGGAGCTTGTTAGCAGTGATGTAGCTGGTATGCACTTGTGTCGCTGCTTTCTACCCATACCACAACCGACCCTGACTGTGCCCATCGTAGAGGAATTGCCTCCTGATCCAGAGGCTGGAGTGTCGACAGTTGCAGCCAGCATGACTAGCTCGTCGGATATCAGGCCACGGGTACGTTTGTGCATTATGTCCATATGTATGTGTGTATTTGTGCATGTGTGTATGTGTGCATGTATGTATGTGTGCATGTGTATGTATGTATGTATGTATGTATGTATGTATGTATGTATGTATGTATGTATGTACTACCTCCGACAAGCGGAACTTGGCGCGTTTTTTTTACTTCAAATTACTCGAAATAACTCACACTTTACAATCAAAACTAATGATTGACTCACCAAAATTCAACTTTGTATTGCTCAACAAGGACATTAGCGGCATCTGTTAGGCTGAACAACTCTCCTCTGATTCAGAGATCGCAGTTTCTTCTGGCGAGGAATTGTCCCTGTTTTGAGAAGGTGCGACTAGAGCGGATTCAGTTGCAGCAAGTACCTCTGTTGTAATCGCTCTGAAAATCTCGATGTCGCTCCTGTGTGCTGTGCTCGAGCCACGGTGTCGAGGGTAGTCGTTTCCGCCGCCACTATCCAGATTGACGTGGTAAGAACTGTGCAACACCTCCACAAGCGCCTGGACTCCAACTGTTTTGCAGGGTATTCTCGCCAACTGTCCAAAATTGCCTGCAGCAATTCCTGGCGATTTTCCTTAGCCACCAGAGACGCATCGCTCTGGTGGCTGTTGAAAGACGCTAGTATTGTTTGGCATGGACGCATAGACTCTGTGCTGGCGGAGTGACCAAGAGGTGAGAGAGAGAGAGAACTCCTTGGTTTTGCATTGCAACGCGAAAGCACGACAATTCTCCTTCGCAGAATGGACGCGCGCACAGTTTTGCTGGTACATGAGAGACACGCTTGCCTCTGACTGAGTCTGAGCCATGTGCCACTCACCAGCTCATCGCTTGGCTTCCTGCACCCGGTTGCATGGAGCTACAAGTAGGTCGTACCTCACAGCCTTGTGAAGTAGTTTTGTTACCAACACAAAAAAATCAAAAAAACGCGCCAAGTTTCGCTTGTCGGAGGTAGTATGTACATAGCAGACTCAGCGGAGGACGTTCAGGTTGGTTGTAACTCTGAGTTTCATGCCGCTAGGCAATCATCAGACAACTGATACTCGGGTCTACCCAACAGTATGCTTATAAACATGTATGTATGTATGTGTGTGTGCATGTGTGTATGTGTGTAACTTATGTATGTATGTGTGTATATGTGTATGTGTGTACACGTGTGTAGACGTGTGTACCGCATTTTTTTCATGTCCCAGTACGAATTTTGTCCTTTCCTTTTTTTCATTCTCTTCCTTTGCGTGAGCTATAATTATAAGTAACGTACCTGAATGAGAGAAAGAGGAAAGAAACATGTTCTGGCAAAATGTTTGGGGGCAGCCTCTCCCTTATAAAGATGTTGTTTCTGTTGGCCCATGTCATGCCTCTGGCACCTGTCGTGATCAGCCTTATGTACGTTATACAGATGCACAAAATCCCGTAGAATCCCGTAGACCTGGCTGGGTGTTGAATGTGCAAGACCCTATTGTGTTTACTGCTATTCTCCAGTAAGAAATGGGCCCTAAAAGGCATTTCATACTGAAAAAATTCCGACAAATATCTAGCTAGTCATTCGTTCTATCCAAGGGTTAATTATGAGGCTATTAAAATTGGTGAAATGCGCATGCATAGCACCCAATGAACACCCAGCCATGTATAGCACACAATGAACACCCAACCGGGTATGTACACACCTACGGCAGAACTTCGTATATCTGTACAACGTGCATTAAAGGATTATTTTGTAGTTTTGTACACATCTACAATGTATTTGTTGTGTGTGTGTACGTATGTGTGTGCGCGTGTGTGTGTGTGTGCGCGCGCGCGCGTGTGTGTGGGGGTGCGTGCGTGTGGGTGTATAGGGCTTCAGGGTGATTGGACAACAGGAGGTGAATGCATGGGATCTCTTGCAAGGTCAGCGCGGTCCGCTCTCCTGGAGTTGGTTTGGTGGCATACGGCATGACCGTCACCGCCATGTCTATGCTGTGCAGCATCACGGCATGTTGCTACATGACCACGGGCCAGCGTTAGATCTATTTGAAAACCGAATTCTTGGCAATCCCAGTCCTGATAGTGTGGACCATGACCTAGCCGGAGACAAGAGTCCACAGCGACCAGCGTCTCTACCTCTTCAGTTTGACATGAGCGGTGGTGGTGGCGCTGGCAATCAGATACGACTGTCTTCAGGTCACCACTTGCTGAGTGCTGGCTCTGTGACTGCTGCTTCTGTGGGTAATACTCACATGTTTGGTACACCTTCATCTGGATCGGCCTTTCAACCGCAGCAACACCTTTCATCAACCAGCAGCAACACAATGACTCCAAGTCGACTGTATCCGGATATCTCTCTACAAGGAACACCCACAAATCCACCTCTTGTGCAGTATCAACAACAGCCACAACAACAACAACAACAACAACAACAACAAAAGTTGACCCAGGCTCCAATGGGACATCAGACACCGACGAGTGGCACTGCCACCAACCGCCAGATTCTTCAGCAGCTTTCCATGCGTGATCAATTGCGCATGGGCACCGCACTGCCAGCTCATCTCTCAGCCTTGCACCGGCAACAGCAGCAACAACCGCCGCCACAGCAACATGTCAGCTTGGATCCGTCTGCGAATGCGTATTTATCACGCACTTTACAGCAGCAACAAGGTAAGGATGCTGCTCAACTACACGCACAACAACAGCAGCAGCAGCAGCAGCAACAGCAGTATCAACAGCAGCGCCAGTACCGTCCAGGGCAACAGCAGCCATAGGTATACTGCACAAGGTTTAGTTACCTGTTCATGTCTAGACTAGGTGATTGTTCACCTCCCAGCATCAACTGGTCTACAGCTCTGCTACTTTCTCGCCCACTCCATATGCCCCTGGAGCATGGACCAGCAACAGCTGGCTATACTCGACGTCTCTAGTTCATAACACTTCGTAGGTTTGTTGTATGACGTTTTTGTTTGTTTTTGTTGCCCCAGTTTTGTCTGCTGTATAGCATAGATGAGAAATCACTGTACAAAGTCAACAATCTTAGTCCCATGTTTCTTTACTTTCCACTCTCCTTGCATGTAGCATAACGTCCACATTTTGCACATACCCCCCCCCCCCCCCCCTCCCACACTCACATGCACATTTTTTTCTCTATGGCCTGTGGTTGAACCTGAAGACGGACCACCAAAGCAACAGTTTACTAGTAGATATCCAAACAGAATTCGAAGAAATTTGATACACGAAACTAACGGCACTCAACTAGATTTTTTACATAGGTATGCGCAGGGGAAAGCCGTAGTCGCAACAGTACAAGCACTATTATTATTATCATGAATTATCACATAATTACGAACATGAAATGAATTGCATGCGCGCAAGAGGCGAATCCGTTTTCACAAACGTTAGTAGACCACACACGCACACCCCCCCCCCCAAAAAAAATGTGCGTGCCATAATTATCATAATTATTCTCTCGGCCGTGAAACAAGTTTGGTTTTTATGTTTTGTTCATCCATCCGGGTTCATTCTTCTCCTATCAACGCAATCATACAAACTCACCATCGTATGTAACTTCATGAAATTGAAAACTACTACTAGTAGTTGAGTGTGCTAAATATAATGTTTTCCATTTTTTTTATGAAACATACATGCATAGATTGCTTTTATCTCTTGCTTTCGTGAGGCTATGTTCTGTATTAAATCTTGTTCATATTCAGCTCACAGTGCCCTCTTTCATATCTGCTTGTAGCACGAGATGTTAGAACAAAGAACGTAGACATGAACGTGTGCAAGTCAACTAAAATGATTGAATTTTAAAACGATTACTATGGCAATTGTGCCGTTCATTGTTGGATGTACAGTGTACGCCATACGGCATACGGCACCCCCTCGATGTGGGTGTGCTGGTGGTGGTGGTGCTGGTGGGGCATAGTGTCCACTCCAGGGATGACAACATGCTGGCGCCATCTTCAAGTTGTTTACATTGTTGTGTCCAATACCATGAGCAGAAACTGGAAGGGCAAAGGCAAATAAAGAACATGGGCAGTTTATTAGAGATAGAATAATGAGACATACAATGCACAAAGACTGGTTGAAGTTTCAAGTACACAATCAAACTAGAGCTTAATTAAAAGGAAATCAAACAATTATTAACATCATGTGAACTCACATCTTCATAGCTTAGGGTCACATTTCCATTCCGTTGCGTGTCACGTTGCTTGAATCCCTCCGTCAGCGTTTGCAACGTCACACAGCACTGGATGAAGTCATCAAACTTCATTGTCGTTGCACTGGTTCTGTCATAGCGACGTACACACAGCTTGCAGAATTCCATAGACCTGTGTAGCGCGCGCACGCGCACACACACACACACACACACACACACACACACACACACACACACTTGTACTTGTTGCTCACTGCCAAAACTGGTCACGTGGATCTCCCCGGGAGAGGGGAGAGAGACTCAAAAGGAATCTTGGAAAGATGACTCAATTGGCTATTAAACCGCCCAACGGCCGACACCCCCTGAAATCCCCAAAACTCTGGGTGGACTTGGAAATGATCCCACTTATGGGCTCACCACACCTCAGTAAGTGGGTGAGGACAAGGTGCAGAAAAAGGATTGATGGCATCAGGGTATCCGTCCCAGGTTCCAACTGCAGTTACCCCTGCCCCCAGTGAAGGTAATACTTGCTACTAGTGTGGGCGGCTAAATCAGAGTGGATCTGATATAAGCTTCACTAGCATCATTGATTACACAAGAGTTAATCTAGCCAGAAGCAGTAGAAAGTATATGAACCCTGGAACCAACAAAGGTGGAAGGTACAACATTACACCTTCAAGCAGCCGAGCCCGTTGGCAACAGACCCAACACAATCAGGCATAAGTGTACCCACCAACCCAACTAGCTGGCACACACACGCACACCCCCCCCCCCCCCCCCCCCACACACACACACACATAATTACGTAGTCGTAGTGAAACCTCCCTAATCATGTACTCCCCCTTTCACATGTCATTGGACTGCGCCGACAACACCGCTCAACTTTACTTACAGCCGATAGCCGAACGAGGTGAGGGCTTGAAGCAGCTCGCTAGCATCAATATTACCTGAGCGGTCACGATCAAACCTAGATACACAGTAGTACATCAGAGTGATGCACAGTACTACATCAGAGTGATGCACAGTAGTACATCAGAGTGATGCACAGTAGCACATCAGAGTGATGCACAGTAGCACATCAGAGTGATACACAGTAGTACATCAGAGTGATACACAGTAGTACATCAGAGTGATACACAGTAGTACATCAGAGTGATACACAGTAGTACATCAGAGTGATACACAGTAGTACATCAGAGTGATGCACAGTAGTACATCAGAGTGATGCACAGTCAGTGGCGTAGCCAGGGGGGGTGCTTTGGGTGCCCAAGCACCCCCCTCAAAAATTTCAACAATTGTCTGTATTATATTCTGGGTCTAACCACACCCTGTCAATCTCTTACCATCCAACTTCTGTAGCAAAGTACTGTGCGTTTCATACGATTTTCTGACTTTTTATTGAATCATTGGTGGAATGGAAAATAATGAAATAGATGCAAAAATGAAGGATTTGGCACTCAATATCGAAAAATTTTCCGGGGGAGGGCCCCCGGACCCCCCCCCCCCCATGTTTCGCGCCCTTCGGGCGCAGGCCCACACTTCCAGTGAGCACCCCCCTCAGCCACAATCCTGGCTACGCCCCTGACAGTAGTACATCAGAGTGATGCACAGTACTACATCAGAGTGATGCACAGTAGTACATCAGAGTGATGGACAGTAGTACACCAGAGTGATGCACAGTACTACATCAGAGTGATAAGTATGATTTACTGCACGAGTACAAACGAGTACAAGGGCAATACCGGCTGATACATGACCGAACGGCGCCAGCCGTGAGGTCATGTATCAAGCCGGTATTGCCCGTGTACGAGTGCGTACGAGGCGCAGTAAATCATTTATTGCATGCTTGACCCAAACATTCCAGAAAATGGAGAGAAACCTTTCCGACTTTCTCAGTCTCCCGACACACTTGTTCAGTGGTAAACGTCGTTTGTGGTTTTGAAATTCTCTATTTCTTTACGATATCGATGATGTTGTTGTTCGTGACTGAGCACTGCATGTAGGAAGTCCTGGAACAGGAACTGAAACTGGGATGGGCCGAGTCCACAACTTCGTCTCGAACGCATTCAGTTCGTCAAGTTCGTCGGCTGCTCACCAAGTCCAACGCATCGATATCGATGTCAAGGTTGCATTCACCTGCTGAGGCGGCTGGTTCAGGTGGCTGGAACAAGTAAGTTATTGTCAGCTCAGTTACATGCGCGCGCGTGTGGTCTGTCATTCTCGTGCTTTGTAGTTTGTAGTCAGATCAAGTTAGTTGCTGTTTTGTGTTTCAAATTTAATTTGAAACTCCGAACTGTAGCAACTTGATCTGATCACGAACCACAAAGTACAAGAATGACAGTCCGCATGCGCGTACATGTAACTGAGCTGGCAATAACTTGCCGGGCAATACCGAAAAATACAGACCGCTGAGCAAGAGCGCTCATTGGCTGTAGTACAGGCAACCCTCACGTGACATGCAATAAACAGTAGTACATCAGAGTGATACACAGTAGTACATCAGAGTGATACACAGTAGTACATCAGAGTGATACACAGTAGTACATCAGAGTGATACACAGTAGTACATCAGAGTGATGCACAGTAGTACATCAGAGTGATACACAGTACTACATCAGAGTGATACACAGTAGTACATCAGAGTGATGCACAGTAGTACACAGTAATCCATGATTTATTCAAAGCCCCACGACTGAGACAGAGACCGTCATTGAAACCGACCATGCACTGGCTATGCGTGTACTGGCTATACATGCACTGCCCATACATGCACTGCCCATGCATGCACTGCCTATACTGTACGTCATGCTATCAAAAACTAAAAAATTCACAGTTTTCCGCATCCGTAGGAACACCACCACCCTCTAGGATCAAGGCGCAGATGCAGCTCCTAAGCGGTCATGCTATAGATTTGCTTGGCGTGTAGCGGCAATGCTGTAGCGGCCGCACTGAATCAAAGACTGACCTGTCAAAGCAGCTTTTCCACTCGTTGACATACTTCCACAGGGACGCAAACTCCTGCACATCAATAGTACCGGTCCTGGAACACCAGTAGTGCACACAGTCACAGTCACAGTCACACACACACACACACGCACACACACACACACACACACACACACACACACACACACACACACGCACACACACACACACACACGCACACACACACACGCACACACACACACACAAACTATTCCACTTGTAGTGTAGAGAGCACATGTGGATGTTGAACAAACACATCGTTCCCACTGCAATCAACTACTACATGTAATACACAATAGCAATCGGACACCCCGTACACAATAGCAATTGTTCCACAGTATGCAATAGCTATCGGACACCCTGTACACAATACCCAGCGAACAATGAAGCCCAGTTGTCCAAACTAGAAAGCAAATAAACGAATGCAGAACACGTGTGTCACTAACTTACCTGTCTTTGTCAAACATTCCTATCATCAATCTACATGTTTCCGCGTTGAAGTGAGACCAGTTGGCATTGACAAGTGCTTGTTGCAATTCAGTGGCAGATATCTCACCGCTGTTATCTGCATCCACAGCCTAACAACGCATGCATGCACATCACCCACCCACAAAACACATGCAAAGCCGCATGCCACACACACACACACACACATACACACACGTACACGCATGCTATCAGTACACATGCATTTCGTCTTTTAGACTTTAGCACCCAGCCTACGGTGCACAACAAACTGACTGCGGTGATAGACAGGTAGTGTTCGTGTGTATCTTCAACTCTGCAGTCATGTATACATGTCTACAGAAAGAGGGTCTGGTACTTGAGATGTAGTGCCTGAGATGATCGGCCCCGAACAACATATGCTCTCTCACGGCATTGGTCGCTTATGGCAAACTTCACTATGCAGTATGCACATAGCTGCCCATCTTGCTACTGATACTGGTGTAAACAGGACTGATTGTACATAAGTACAATCATGTACATGACTGTACTGATATCCGGCACAAGTTTCTCGTTGAACTAGAGTTAGTCAAGAGGACGTATGAGCGCTGGTGACAGAATAAGTCACCACGCTGGCTGCAATATTTCAGGCATTAGGGACTCTGATGTTGAACCGTGTCCCTTTTAGCGGCATTCAGATACACACAGACTAATGTGTGTGTGCGTGCGTGTGTGTGAGAGAGAGAGAGAGAGAGAGAGAGAGAGAGAGAGAGAGAGAGAGAGAGAGAGAGAGAGATCAAAGCAGCGTGCTGTCTATACTGGTTACCACAGCAAGTGTAGTGTGTGCATAGGTAACTGCCTTGGTCGTATGCCGATGCGTGTAGTGTAGACCAGGTGTGCACTGGTGGTTGATTCACATGGCTTCGCAGGTTGTGTGGATTGGGCAGTTATCTGGCACTAGACTAGTCTTGATCTGTCTCATTCAGATCTTGTCCGCTATCGTTTCTTTAAGAGAAAATCTGTGGGTGCACATCCAGTGCATTTGCAGATTTGCGTGCTTCTCTTGCGACGGGCGTATACATGGTACATGGTACATGGCGTGTGTGTGTGTGTGTGTGTGTATGTATGTGTGTTGTGTGTGTGTGTGTGTGTTGTGTTGTGCTCTGTGTGTGTGTGTGTGTGTGTGTGTGTGTGTGTGTGTGTGTGTGTGTGTGTGTGTGTGTGTGTGTGTGTGTGCGTGTGTGTACGTGTGTGCGTGTGCATATGTGTGTGTGCGTTTGCATGTGTATGTGTGTGTGCGTATGTGCGCGCACACACATGCACATCATAATAGCGTGCATGCACGCACCTGGAACCATTGCCAAAGTGTTGGGTCCACTCCTGGCGGGGGTGCACGTGGCCCAGCATGATGACCACCAGCCATGTGACTAGGCACAGCACCACCATACTGTCCAGGCTGGTTAGCTGCAGCTTGATACGACGGACCTGAGCCATAGGAAGCCTGGCCATAACTAGGTGGCTGAGATCCACCAGCATAACCATGTTGCTGGGGTGGAGGCTGACCATAAGCAGGTTGTTGCTGTGGTGGGGGATGTCCATAACTGTGCTGCTGCTGTTGCTGTGGTGGAGGCTGACCATAAGCATGTTGCTGGGGTGGAGGCTGACCATAAGCCGGCTGCTGTTGACCATATCCCTGAGCTGGTGCTCCATAACCCTAGTATATGTACAGCAGTTGCAAATACACATGCATCAGTATCAACAAGGAAATGCACAATATAAAATACAAAAAAGGAGCTTACAGTTTGTCGGGGGTACGCCATGACTGCTTCAAGCTCAGGAGGACAACGGCTGCGTTGTTAGACCACCACTGCACCTCCAACGTTCGAAAATGGCTACTTACTATCACTGCCTGGAAGTTCTTATGCACACACAAGACCGATCGAGAACTCTGATCTGTTCGAAGCTTGACTCAACGTTCACTGTTCAAAAAAATCAAAATATTCAAGATCATCTGGTGCATGGTGATGTAAGACTGTGATCTGTGATGTAAGAATCTTAGTATTCTTACATCACTCGAACTCTGATGATGGCAAGGAAGAAAATTTAGAGAATCGAATGCGAGCTCAGTGACTTTCCTCCCAAATCCACAAGGATTCTGTATAACTCGCGAAAATTGTTGGATCCTGGATCAAGCATCCACGATGTGCAGGCACGCGATCGCGCGATATGACGATGTACGATTTTCCATGTATGATGAGTAGGCGTTTTCTGTACATATGTCATCTCGTGTTTACGTATTTGCTCGTTGCTATGTTTCTGGAGATGTTTTGGAGATGTTTTTGTCACATTTCTGAATTATTTTGAGGACCCTTGTAGTTTCTCAGTGCATTCAAGTGAGCCATGGACCAAGAATGAGTTTTCTGCAATAGACAACGGGCATCATCAAGGAGGTGGACGTAGGCCTTGCGGAGGACCCCACAAATGGCGAATCTCATAAAGAAAAAGCTCGTCCAGGAGCTTGCAAGGTGCTGTGTAGGAATTAAAATCCTGTCGAAATTTAATCCTGAAACATGTCTTGAATACTCACCCGTTCTGGTTTGTATTTGGCTGGTCATGTAGGTTCACAAAGAACCTCCAACCTGATGCTATTAAGATCAGCTCACTGAAGGGAGAGGGCGAACTTGCATCTTTGGAACTAGACGAAGAGTTCCTCACTGCTATTCTTCAACTCCCAGCATGGCTGAAGCTGAGCAAAGTCATCTGCAGAAACATCCGAATCAAAGTATGTCTCCTGCATAATAGTTTACAGCAGTTAAGTGAATGGCAAAGCTTGTGTTTTAAACAAGTATATACTTCATGTGGCCAGTCCACTCAGCCGCGAAATCAACTTTGACAATAGGCTTTGCACAAGTACTTTCACAGTCCTGTCATCAGATGGATAGAAGCAACTGAGAAACGACAATCAAATTACATTGACTATCTACGGCATAACAGTGGCGAAACTAGCAACAACGATTACAAAGGTGATATCAGCACATATTTGGCAATTACGGGCACATGTAGCTCTGATATACATGTACTGTAAAAGCAGAAATTTTCGGTGGTGTTTTATTTTCGGTAACTTCGGTGCCGACAATTTTTACCGAAAATAAAACGCACCGAAATTTTCGGTACAACCGATACTGTATACATGTAGTACTAGTACACCTACCTGGAGAACGGGTTTTACCGAAAATTTCCCGCTACCGAACCGCCGATTTTGGCGAATACCGAAAATATTACACCACCGAAAATTTCTGCTTTTACAGTATAGAGTACTGTCATATTGAAAACATGTAAGCGTGAAAATTCCATTGTCAGCTGACCAGTAAGAATATAAGCGCAAAGCGTAGCAGCAGAAACAGCACTACGGACGTGTCCATGAGTAAGACCACCTGGGCAACCCGATCCTGCGTGAAAGACTTGCCCACTTTTTTGTTGCTGAGTTTGCTACCGTTGTGCTGTACGCTAGGAATGCAGCTAGCTGACTGTCAACACTCAACAGCCTGAACATGATCAATGATAGTGCTGTTGAGTGGAAGTGTATATTTTGTTCATTTCAAGAATGATGATTGTGTCTATTCCAATCCTTGGTGCAATCATTTGTATCAGGATTGACCAGACACATGACAATGAAGCCACTGCTGCATCTGATGAAACTTGTCGTATCATAGCTCTTCGAAACAGTACTACAGTCCATTTCAAAACTATAGACGCGTAGGGTTTCTGAAATATTTCAAATTTGGCTGGAGCTTTTTGAGAATAGTTTTCGGAATATTGCTCTGGTCCGCTCCACAATTACTCTCATATAGTTTCTAAACGATTGGATAACAGACGCCCAATTTGGAAAAATTTATGCACAACGTGATCACAGATTTTATGTGGTATAGATGCTGGCATAACGGTTTTTGCCTAGGTACGCGTCTATAGTTTTGAAATGGACTGTAGTGCACGGCATGGTAGCATGATGCCATCAAGCCAGTCGTCATGTATGCAGCTTTCTTGGTTGCAAGAATAGCACTAGAACATGCACAGAGAAATGATGGTGCTAGCTGTGCCCGAACATACCAGTACAAAAATAGTCATGCAAAGGCCAGAAGTCCTGCATGCCATACTATGTGTGCTAAATTCTAATCAGGGTTCAAAAAGTGTTCTCTACTTTTCCGTATGTACGTATCTATCCAGCCAAATTGCAAAGGGCCAAAATGGAACGTCTCAGTACGGGGTATGTGTACGTCTGGTACACATTCGCCATTTAGGTGTTTGTTGCATGAACCAGGGAGTAGTAAAGTACCATTCTTACTTCTTATGTGTTTGTTGTTGTTATTTGTTGTTTACTACTCCCTGGTATGAACTGTCTACACGGTGATATATACACACATGTAGGGTGCTGACCGGCGGCTGTTGTGTTGCTGGAATTGATCAGTGTTGTACTGGCTTGGTTTGTACTGTATGTGTAGTGATAGTCATGTCTTCTAAGCCCTTCTTTCTCTGTCTCTATCCCATTGCAGATCCACTGGACAAAGCTGAAAAGCGAACCTGTTCTGATTGTAAGGCTTTTTTAAAGTACAATACACTGGCTTGTACATACTCTGATTGAAGTCTGAGACAAATGCAGCGCGCTTGCACTCCCCTCCCAGCAGCCGGGGGTTGACCCGTTCAAATTTCTACGCACAGAAAAGAAGCAGCCCTGATGCAGCATAAAGTACTGTTGTTGTATCTGCGCCGCCATACTAGTATCCATACTAGCATCCATACTAGTATCTAATAGCCTCCGGAATTTTTACCTGTGAAGCAACTTCAGTGTATACATCATAATGGTAAATACGGTGTCGAACCGATGCATGCACTGCTGTACACGATACATGCCAACGCAGTTGTTATGGCTGTGGATGAAAGTGTGCGCAGTCCAGCGCAACAAGTCTGATCTTTCATGTACATTGTAGTTGTACATAGTGCTGCACTTGATAGCCGTGATCTATTCCCCCCCCCCCCCCCCCCCCCCCCTCACCAAAACCAGCTGAGAAGCAACACAGTGTGAGGGGCAGGGTGAGCGGATACCGTATTGTGTTTTAAAATAAAGGTTATTATTTACTTGTAACAGTTGCATCAGGGGCTGCAGCACTCCTATTGAACAGTTTCCTGTGCTCTTTTCCCATCTGTTCCCTTCTTTCCTCCTTGCATTTGTGTTGCTGCAGCCTTCTGCCTTCCTGTTTGCCTGTTGTATGTATTAGTACATATCCTGTGTAGCAGAGATGTTTCCGGAACATCTGTGCTGGCCTTTGCCGTATAGGATACTAGTGCACTGCTGTTTGTTTTACAAGCTGCCTGTACTTTACGACAATGGCTCCTATGGGCATGTACTGATAGGTATTGCATACATGCGGCCTGCATTGATGTATACATGCCTGTCTTTGTGTGTGTGTGTGTGTGTGTGTGTGTGTGTGTGTGTGTGTGTGTGTGTGTGTGTGTGTGTGTGTGTGTGTGTGTGCGTGCATGTGTGCGTGTTTGTGTGTGTGTATGTGTGTGTGTACATGTGTGTGTGTGGGGGGGGGGGTGTACATGTGTGCGTGCGTGTGTGTGTGTATGTGCACGCGCATGTGTGTGTGTGTGTGTGTGTGTGTGTGTGCGCGCATGTGCATGTCTGTATCCGCCAGACTATGAGTGATGTAGATGTGTATGTTGTGACATGTGATGAATACAAACCACGTGAGAGCATGGAGACCAAGTCAAAGTAAGTGTTGCAAAGTGCAGCCAGTGTGTTTTGTTTTTCTACCGGTGCCTGTACATGTAATCATACATCTGTAATCATGCCGCTGTGATTTCCTGATGTACATGTACATTGTATATCAGCTGTGGCAATATGTCTGAGAATGTATGAATACCACCTGAACACATGTGGATGTGTTGTCAGTTGACAAGTGTCTCTTTGGTTGCTTGTTCCTGGTGCCTATTCTGCTGGCTTAGCTACCGTGGATTGAACTAGTTGTGCTGTATACATTAGCTTTGTTTTGGCTGATTCGCTTGCTTTTCTTTTCTTGCGGCTAGTCCACACGAATATGGACTTGTTGATAAGGTGATTGATGGTTTGTCGCTAACCGTTAGCAATGTCACGGTTCATTTCAAGTCGCCAGGCTTCAATTCAGACCTGACCATATCTGAGGTATGTGTACTCTGCGAGGCAACAACGGGAAGTGACCGGCGGCTACGGTCTGACTGACTGTATGTTGTTGATAATGAGTTTGCTTGTGTCCACTGGCACATGCTTTCCACATGTAACAGCTGATGGCCACAGCTGTTCTTGTCTGTATGGCAGATATGAATGTGCGTGTGTGCGAGTGTGTGTGTGTGTATGTGTGTATATGCATATACGTGTATTGTGCTCTTGTGTCCTATTTCTGGTGTGGCACTACCGGGTATTAGTTTGGTAGTGATGGTAAACACCATACATGTTGATACAGGTTTTCTTGAGTTTAGCCTGGAGTCACTGGTCTAATGTGATGGCTGGGATGTGTCTTGTGACTCCACTGATACAGTGAGTCAGCATTCTACACCATACAGCACTGTACTAGTAGTCTAGTAGCATGCACGACTGTACTGCGCTGCGTGTGTGTATTTCTCTGTGCACGTGTGCACACGCTCCTATATGATTGTACTTGTGTTATGTTCACATCTGTGTGTGTGTGCTTTCTCTCATGTATGCATGGTATTGTGCGTGTACTGTTTAGGTCAACATGAAAAGTGTGGATAAAGACTTCAATGTGACCAAGCTGGAGAACACCCGTTTGTCGAAGGGCCAGTCGACGACAACTCGCAAGCTGATATCGTGGCAATCCCTGCGCATTCAGGCTATCGCTGACATGTGTGATGATGTAGCTGATGGTCAAATGTCTGTTGCCCCCATTCTCTTGATCACCAACCAGTCAAGCTTACGACTGACGCTCACCAAGAGAATGACCGATTGCGTCTTGACTGCGACACGACTGGAGTTGCGCTTTGACACGTTCCTCTGGGTTCTGACCTCTTCACAGCTATTTGCTGCTGCCATGTTTGCGCGTACCCTGTCCTTGCTCATCCAGCGGGTCACACGGCAGAAGCGGGAGATGGCTGCCAAGAGCTCGGTTAGCTACAAGTATGGTGGTGGCAACCAACCCGACGCTGCTAGCAAGGAGCTTGCGCATGGCATTCAGGTATGCTACTGTAAACTGTATGTATGCAGGTGTGGGTGCCTGCGTGTGTACGTATGTGTGTATGTATGCAGGTGTGGGTGCATGCGTGCGTACGTACGTATGTATGTATGCAGGTGTGGGTGCCTGCGTGTGTACGTATGTGTGTATGTATGCAGGTGTGGGTGCATGCGTGCGTACGTACGTATGTATGTATGCAGGTGTGGGTGCCTGCGTGCGTACGTATGTATGTATGCAGGTGTGGGTGCCTGCGTGCGTACGTATGTATGTATGCAGGTGTGGGTGCCTGCGTGCGTACGTATGTATGTATGTATGCAGGTGTGGGTGCCTGCGTGCGTACGTATGTATGTATGCAGGTGTGGGTGCCTGCGTGCGTACGTATGTATGTATGCAGGTGTGGGTGCATGCGTGCGTACGTATGTATGTATGTATGTATGCAGGTGTGGGTGCATGCGTGCGTACGTATGTATGTGTGTATGCAGGTGTGGGTGCCTGCGTGCGTACGTATGTATGTATGTATGCAGGTGTGGGTGCATGCGTGCGTACGTATGTATGTATGTATGCAGGTGTGGGTGCATGCGTGCGTACGTATGTATGTATGTATGCAGGTGTGGGTGCATGCGTGCGTACGTATGTATGTATGTATGCAGGTGTGGGTGCATGCGTGCGTACGTATGTATGTATGTATGCAGGTGTGGGTGCATGCGTGCGTACGTATGTATGTATGTATGCAGGTGTGGGTGCATGCGTGCGTACGTATGTATGTATGTATGCAGGTGTGGGTGTATGTGTGGCTATGTCATACTCCACTCCCCATTGGGCGGGCCTAGGCCGATTGTGGCATGTCCAAGGTCCAAGCCATTACAGTTACAATGTAGTATAGACTGGTAACCCGGGAGACTCACAGTAACTGTGGCATGCATGCATGCAAGCAGTTGCGGGATCTGCTCCATGAACACATTTATGTGAGTCACCCAGACTGGCAGTACACACACACCCTCTGTTGTTGTGCTACTGTCTGCTCTGCATAGCACTGCAAAAACTTCACTCTTTGCTTAAACATGAAGTGCATTTACATGTATATGCCATAGACATGCAGTTCTGTTTGCAATGTTCAGCAAGGTCTTGTAGTCTTTGAGTAGTTCTCGACTTCATTGAATTCCCCTTCTCTTCACAATCATGCTCATGTACATTTCATTCACTACAAGCTAAGTCTGTATTTCAGGCAGGTTTCAGGATTTTGAAAGATTCTGGTAATTTTGAGCTGATAACCCACGGTATTTGGGCATATTAGATATCTGCATTAGGCGGATCACGTACACATGCTTCACTGCGAGAGTTAGGGGCAGTTTGTACAATTGAATTCCAGTTTGACAGTGTGCTAGTAGTCCATATTGGAACTCCCATATGTTCACATGTCAGTGAACAATAGGTGTTGGTATTTGCATGATATTGCTCTTTGCAGGCATCACATCATCTTCGCCTGGGCACGTTGGAGCTGCAGCTTTGTGATGATCAGGTATCACGAGCTGAAGGCGGCAACCGTGGTGCATCCATGCAGCTCCTGCTACGTGGCTTGGCACTGGACTTCTACCCGAACCGAGCTGCGTGGAGTCAGCGGCAGGAATGTGCCATACCGAACGAGTACACAGTTCAGTGTCAGACTTGGATCACTACACTACTGCAGCGTTACTCCTGGGAAGGACAGGCGCAGATGGGTCACGCTCCTGACTCGCCACTCAGCCGTACGGCATCTGGCAAGTATGTCGTGCACCGTCCATCTCTGCGGGAGAATTGGCTAATTGCATCGCTGCGTGACATTAAGGTGAGTGTTTATTGTCATGCTGGGCTATGAAATTAGAGCCGAAGACCATTGACAGCTCCGCTATTGTTCTTAAATACTTCTCAAGTTTTTTCTTTGTTTTACTAATGCCCGCATGGTATTGGCGTTGTTTTTGCTGGGAGAGACCACTATCAACTATCCTTCTAATTGGTGGCTGCCATGTTTTGATTCTGTTATGGCAGATTGGCTGTGTGTCAACTGGTAGGACAGAACACTTGCCGGAAGCGCTGTTCCAGAGTTCCAAGAAGGAGCTCCACATTCCTGACAGTCATCCAGCCTTTCAGCTGGAGTTCATGTCTTACTTCTATGAGCCAGCAATGCCCGACTATTTTGGTGAGTCAATACGCTCTACATTCGAGAGAAATATTCTCCTGGTGACCTATCCGTGCAATGGCTATAGACTGACTTGTCTGGGAGCCACACATCTGCCTATGCAGACAAACCAGCCATAGAACACTGGTAACACCTGTAACACGTTTGTCGATGATGGCGATGATACGACTGGTTAGGCTGTAACTCGTACTCGTAGAAACAAGCTTCGATGTGTGTGTGTGTGGGGTGGGGGCAGTGCCATGCCGTATGACTTTTGGTACAAGTTTGAAACTCGGTACTACATGTACCCTATACATTGTATAGTAGTATATACGCTTACGGGGGACTGGATAGATCAGGAAGCTTAGCAGAAATACGTGTGTCGTTTGAAGCTGGCAATCTTCCTCTGAACTCCGTGTCACATCACTACTACTGTTGCTGCTGCTGCTGCTGCTGCTGCTGTTGCTGCTGCTGCTGCTGCTGCTGCTGCTGCTGCTGCTGCTGTTGCTGCTGATGCTGATGCTGCTGCTGCTGCTGCTGCTGTTGTTGTTGGTGGTGATGGTGTTGGTGGTGTTGTTGTTGGTGTTGTTTCAGTACCTTGGCCACATCTGTATGGCTGGGTAAACCCAATGGAAGTGATCTTTCACGAACCGACCCTGCTGTGGATGCTCAACCTATCCAAAACCATGGCAACACATGTCAATGGTTTCTTGCACTCCCTGCCACCAGTAAGCCTATAATTCCCTTCTTTTCTTCAGATTTTAGTACACACACACACACCACACACAACACACGCACGCACGCACGCACACACACACACACACACACACACACACACACACACACACACACACACACACACACACACACACTACTACTACTACTAATATTATTGACAGCTGCCAGACTTGGCCATGCTGCTCCCAGATGGGAGGTACTGTCAGAGAGGTTGGGGAGGGGGGGGGGGGGGGGGGGGAGGAAGACAATGCTCCAAGTGACGATCCAGAGCTTGCCCCCTCCGAAACCATCGGTTGTGACAAACTTGGCAGTGAAACTTGAATTGCTGGCGTTCAGCCACAGTAGGGCGCTTTGGACAGGTTCCACAACAATAACGCTTGAGACCCGCAGCCGATTTTAATGAACGGTGACAGGTTGTGCAAGTTACATCCGGAACAACAAGAGGAGCAGGGCCGGCTGCTGGTCTTCATCATCTAGCCAACACTTATGCACTTGTGCTGCTCGGATACTGGGAGCTGACGGATTGTAGAACACTTGTGCCGGGCCATGTCAGAACTATGGCGGAACAGACGGTTGCAGGTTTGGGCACTCAATGTTCTTCGGGGCAGGTTCCTTGTCCTCACCTGCTGCTGCCACCACTCCACTCTCCACGGTCGCTTGCCAACTCGAACCAGTTACGCACTCCACCAACAGATAGGTCTGTGTGGATGGTGTCCTTCCAGCGACGACGAGGTCCACAGAATGGCCGAGACTGAGGGAGACAGGCAAACAGTAACTGCTTTGGTACTCTGGTGTCATCAAGACGAGCCAGGTGCCCAAGCCACTCCAACCGTCTCTGCTGTACCATGCGTGATAATGGTATGGGATCACCCCACTGTGCCCACAGTTCCTGTGAGGAGATGCATTGTTCCCACTGTCGGCCGCGTGATACGCCAAGGATGGAGTGAATGTTGGCATGGTGAAACCGTTGCATTCTGTCTAAATCCGACTTCAACGGCGTCCAGCATTCTGAACCATACACAGTTCTGTATAGTTCAGAATGCTGGACAAACACACACATACACACACACATGCACACACCACACACCACACACACAGTTCTGTATAGTTCAGAATGCTGGACAAACACACACATACACACACACATGCACACACCACACACCACACACACACACACACACACACACACACACACACACACACACACACACACACACACACACACACACACACACACACACACACACACACACACACACACACACACACACACACACACACACACACACACACACACACACACACACACACACACACACACACACACACACACACACACACACACACACACACACACACACACACACACACACACACACACACACACACACACACACACACACACACACACACACACACACACACACACACACACACACACACACACACACACACACACACACACACACACACACACACACACACACACACACACACACACACACACACACACACACACACACACACACACACACACACACACACACACACACACACACACACACACACACACACACACACACACACACACACACACACACACACACACACACACACACACACACACACACACACACACACACACACACACACACACACACACACACACACACACACACACACACACACACACACACACACACACACACACACACACACACACACACACACACACACACACACACACACACACACACACACACACACACACACACACACACACACACACACACACACACACACACACACACACACACACAATACAATACAATACAATACGTATAGGATATTGACCAAGACGAGGTCTATATGGGAAATATAGGCCGAGTAAAAGACCTAGGTCCGCCGAGGTCTTTTACTCTGCCTATATTTCCCATATAGACCGAAGTCGAGGTCAATATCCTATTTATCACGATTCCTTTGCTATAACCCCAAAATTTGAACCATTAGGAGCTATTTTAACCTTTTTAGTATAGCATTTGTACTATAGTGTACATAGGATGTTGCCTATTTTGGGTACAAGACAAAAAAAAACAACAGAGTTCAGCATCTGCAGTACAGTGGCTGGGTGGTATAAGGGGTTGCTTGAGATTCATACTGTTGTGAGTTCAAATCCTGCTTGTTCTCTTCCTTTGTCTTCTTTCTTTCAATTTTTCTTTTTGAAGTGGAGAGAAAAATTCTAAGTCCCTCCAAAGTCGAAAGATTACAATGCTTAAGTGGTCGATACAAGCGGTCGATATAAGCGGTCGATATTGCGGCGATATGGGTAATATGACCAGTCAAGGATCACGAGAATTAGTGGAGGTCGATATAGAAGAGTGATAAAATACAATATGCCCATCCGGAGATGATAGCAGGTCCCGAAGGGACCAACAGTGTTCAAGTCACGAGCAGAATCGGGCGTGGCGAGTCAAGTCCTGGCGACGGCGATAGCGCTTTCCACAAGTGCAAACGAAGTCTAAGGTGACGGGCTCGGTCGGAGGAATGGTGCTGCATGCTAATCTCCATTCTCTGCGATCCTGGGCGAGGTCGTACCAGTCCGCTATCTGGCGGTCCTTCATGTCGGACCCAACATTGTCCCGCCACCGCTTCCGGGGCCCATGACGTGGCTGGGTCTTGTCCAGTTCGCCGAAGAGGATACACTTTGGCATACGGGAGTCATCCATTCGAGCAACATGGCCTAACCAGCGGAGTCGACGCGTTTTCAGTGCCTCCTCGATCGGCTGTACCTTGGCTCGTTCAAGGAGAGTGTTGTTGGAGATGTGCTCCTGCCATTGTGTTACTCTGCGAATATCCAGCAGAAAACGAACACAGCGGTGATGAAAGGCTGCAAGCCGACGAACATCCACGGCCTTAATTGCCCAGGTCTCACAACCATACAGCAGCGTCGACAAGACAACGGCCGAATATACATGCACCTTCGTCTTGACGGAGAGATCACGACTGGAAAAGACAGATGAGCGCAATGTGCCAAATGCTCGGGAAGCTTTCGCCAAGCGAGCCGAGATCTCAGCAGTCATCTGGCCATCCGAAGAAATACAACTGCCGAGATACGTAAAATCAGGCACCAGCTCAATACTACCCTCAGGCAACTCTAAAAGGCCGGATGGCGGCGACGGGGCATTCACTACCATAGCTTTGGTCTTAGTGAAGCTTACAGTGAGGCCAAACCTGCTTGCAGTGGCAACGAAGGAACTGCCAGCAGCTCACACACACACACACACACACACACACACACACACACACACACACACACACACACACACACACACACACACACATGCTGTGGCCGGAGATCACCAAATTGGTCTGCTAATATACCTCTATGTGAGTACCGAGCCGGAGAAGCACAAGCACCATGTGACAAACTGGTCCTGCAAGGGTAGCGTAGCCTGCGGCCCAATCTTGACTCCTGCACGAGGTCCAGACGCCATTGCATCCCCCTCCGATAAGGCATGGTTGCTGCACACGGCCACAGATACTCACAGCATGCTACCATCATGCCATATGAAACAAAGCCGGTCTAGTAACGAACTTTATCGTCTTGACCCTTGGATTTCCTGCCGATATGAAAGGCTTTGTCGTTGTACCCTTCATCACATTCAACTGGGTGGTGAGTGCTCAGCACTCCACCTTCAAGGCCAAGTTTTTAGCTTGGAAATCCAACATGCATGTGCAGTGGTCGGTGCCAGCATGCGGGTCTGACGCCTTGGGTTCAGTAACTTCACCAGAAGCTAGCGTAGATGAAGCCAAGACAGCATTACGCCCGCCTTCTCCATCCGTTCTTACTATTAGCAAGAGTACATAACCCCCCAGAGTGTGCAACGCCTGATCCAGCTCTGCATAGGGTCTTGGTTGAGCGTAGTCGGATCTTCTGATGTCATGCGTATACTTCACACCAGCGCAAGGCCGGTCTCGAGGCAGGGCACCGTTGTTTTGATCCGAGAGTACCCGCGACTCCCCGGGTTCCCCTCAGATGTGTACGGTATTATGACGCAAAGATCCGATTACGCTCGACCAAGACCCTATGCACAGCTGGATCAGGCGTTGCACACTCTGGGGGGGTTATGTACTCTTGCTATTAGACTTCTCGATAATCTTCCCTTGACAGAGGTGACTTACGTTTCGTTCAGTACTCTTGATAAGATAACAAGGATAATTCGTGAAAATACTTGGAATCACTCCCGGTTTCAGCTTCTTGCGACGTCACCCCGTGCTTGTAGTTTTCGGGACTGAGAAGTCTCCATCCTTGATGAGACTGCCATGGAGTCCCAAAACGAGATTTTTGCTGTAGTGTCCCACAGAGCTCGGATTGAGACGAGGTAGACATGCCAGAATTACACAGAAAATAGCATGCAATAACAGGCAACTTATCTGGATTGTTACTGGTGGCGGTATCTGTCCATTGGCCCGGTATGGGGTGGCTGGCGACAGTCTCTCACCCAATGAAAAAAGTAAAGTTAGCCGGATTCGCGGCCGCATCACCTGACGACGTGTTCAGGAACATTCTCGTGCAGAGTGTAAAGTAACGATTTCCATCAGTACTTTCATATCTCATAACTAACTAACGTTGCTTGCCGTGATGATCGCATACTCCAAGTCGTAAAATACTGACTCAAAGCATGCATAATGCATGCATAGCAGTGGACAAGAGGTACAACAAAAACTTTTTTTAAATAGAATTCCGATACGAAAAAAGAGAAAAACCCCTATTGAGTACAAAATTTCGAATACTTGCTCGTTTGAAATTTTCAAACGATACTCGAATATTCAAACTACTAGTATCGTTTCACCCCTAGTGAACAACGTGTACGTGCCTGTGTGAATGCACTTGCGTGAAAACGACGTTTGTCAGTACGTGGAATTCCAAGCGGTGATGTGCATTGCAACATAGGACGAACAGCATATAAGTGATGTAACACTGTGTTCTTGCTGCCGTAAATTTAGAGATTGCACCTGATTATGTACATTACAACTCAGACATTGGACCAGTACAATCACGTAGCTTGGAGTGCAGTTTCTCTAGAGAAGAACATGCCCTAGTGCTCATTTTGCTGACCATGCTGTTTGAAATCCGTTGTATTGTTTACCGCCTTTCTTTTCCAGGAGTTATTCGAAGAGTCCACAGAGGAAGCTGAGAAGGATATTCGCCTGGAGTTTATCATGCCAAAGGTAATGACTGAGGGCAAGTTGAGCTAGTACAAGTTGTGGATTGAACTTAGCGTTATTAGCTATGAAAGTTTGAGAACTAAGAGTTCTGGTCGAACTTGGTTTTTTGGAGGTTCCGCGCTACGCAAAGTTCGGCAACTTTACATAAGTGCACATAAGTGGGCGAGGAAAACCGGTGAAATGGCGAGTTAGCACTCCACTCACGGAAAGTTGTCTAACGGAGAGTATGGACATAGAGCTCTACTAATGGAGGTGCTTCGTACGTGGATTGTTGTATAAATTTATGACTCTCTCTGTGGGTTGTGCACTTTCGCGTCCGGACTTGCCCCGGGCAGCTGCGTGGTTTGCAGACTCTGTATGGCGGATTACGGATCCGCATGCTTCGTGCATAAAACATTCCGTAGATCGACTGGATTTTGCTAGCGTAATTACGTAGGGAATAAGCTCTATATTATAGAGCTCTCACTCAATGCTCTGAAGCAATTGATTGTTTCTCTCTCTCTCTCTCTCTCTCTTCTCTCTCTCTCTCTTTCTCTCTTTCTCTCTCTTGTGTGTGTGTGTTTGCTCTGTAGGTAACTCTACCATTGAGCGGTTGTCCCAGTGCTGCAGCATCAACCGTACTCTATCCACATGCACTGCAGTTTCAAGCTTCACGCATGACTGTCACCAACTGTGGCCACCATGGTACCAGCAGCACACGCACTGAACTGCAGTTGAAGGCGCAACTCCTACAGTCCATGTCTTTCTTCTCACCGGATGGAAAATTCCCTTATCGCCCTGGTGACCTGAACTCCTTGCCATCGTTTGCTGAGGAGACGCCGCAGACGGTCGGTGAAACATCAACAGATGCATCTCAGGCAAGTAGCACTGGGTCTGTACGTCCGCCGCCGCGGGGACAAGCAGCAGCCCCGACTGGAGTAGAAGCAGCACCATCACCGACGTATGAGCCAGGTGCGGCACCGGTCATCTGGCTGATGAGTGCAGAGAAATGCTGGCTGGACTTCCTCTACAAGAGCGCATCTTCTGACAAAGAAAAGAATGTGCCGTTCGTTGGAGCCCTGCCGCTTGAGCTGTGGGTGTGTGCACTGAACGCTACCGAGGACAAGCCGGGGCGCTTTCATGCCTTGCTGCAGAGCACAGAGGAGTTGCAAGTGCTACTAGAACGTGCTGAGTTGCTTTGGCTTTTGAGCTTACGGGATGAGATCAAGACGCTGCACTCAACTATACTGGCGATGTTCCTTGATCCAACACAGCAACAGACACCGCAGGCCAAAGAGAGCACAGGAACCAGCGCTACCAAGCCATCATCACAGCCGGCACAGGAGCAACATGCCAGTAAATCAGCTGATGACAAGCAGGAAGAGGAGCTGAAAGAACAGACGTTTGCTGCCATATCGTTACAGAGTGGTATCCGAGTGTCGTTGCTGCTTCCGAATCCCGAGTCTCGCCACCGCCTCCTGACACGCTCTTCCAGCTCTACGAGTCTTCTTGGCGGCAACTTCTCATCATTGCTACCGTCTGCTATCTTTGCAGCACCAACACCATCACCACCTCCTGTTGGCAACTTG